GGTATTTATTAGTTAGTCAGCACCTAATTTGAAAAATCCTGGCATCTCACCCAAAATTTTAAGAGATTAGTCTAATCTTGAGGAATATTGGGGGTTTAGGTGGGATTAATTCCCAGACTGAGGTCATCCTCTAACACATCCAGGATCCCAGATATCTCTCAGATACAAGCATAGTAAACCTAGAATTGGTTCTTTGAAGTCATTGCCCACATTTCACTTGTTTTAGGTCCTTGGGCTTGTTTTTATCATCAACATCGTCTCTAGATTGGGGATAAATGGGAACCTCACCCTGCTTGTAAATTTCCATTGAGATATAAAGTAATATAATACTTACATTTTGTTTTGTATTTGAGAAGGCCGCAAAGACCATTGGTAACTAGAAATTCTTAGTTTGCATTAATTGGCTGTGATTTGTAGAAAGACCCTGGAACTCTTTTATCTGTCTTCATGCATTAATTTATTGATTAACTTATTCATATTTGCTGGGCAATATGGGAGAATATACCAGAGTAGTATCAATTCTTTAGTAAAATGTTTTGATCCCTATTAAAATTTTTAAAAATAATAATAAAGTGTGAGAATTTGAACCACTCAGGCCGTTAAAGACATCTTGATCTTTTTAATGGATCCTAGACAAACCTATCCTATCCTTTGTTATGTTCTTGAGTACATACTATATGCCATATTTAAGTGCTTTTGAAGAGCACTGTACCAAGTATGGAGGAAATAGGAGAAAAAAGGTAGGAAATATAAATTCTGCCTACAGGGAATTTGAAGGAAAATAGCAGACTCAGAGTAAGGCCAAATAAATACATGTAATCACAAATAAAAGAAATGAATATATATTTAATGAACTATGAATGTACCTACCAAGATGGTGTTAACTTCAAATATTTCTGTGCCACTCGTAGAATTTTCTTAGGGAGGGAAGAAGAGTGTTTCCTAAGATATGGCAGTCAACCAGAAAATAGTGAAAGGATGGTCTACTTTTGCCACTTTATAGGAAGTGGTTAAGGACAAAAAGGGGCATACCAGTTCAGCAGAAGCAATATTCCCAAATAAAACGCAAGCATAAATTTGGTCAATTAATAACAAATGTTGAAAGAAAATTAATAAAACCTTAATAATACATTTATTGTAATTTTTAATGTCAAGCCTCACTGTTAAAAGAGTATGATCTATTTTTAGAAAATTTCTGTTAAGCCAACTGCTATGAATTGTCTGTTTCTGACAATAGTCATATTCTCCTCTCTACCTTAATTAAAAATGTTGATGAGCTAGATGCCATTGAATTGCAGTTTTTTTTTTTACAGGCCATGATTTAGTAAAAATAGATGGTGCTTCACTTCTATTACTGAAACAACCCTGAGTATCATTTCTAAAATGTTCTTTAAGCAAGTCTTGGAAAGCAATATACACATGATGTTATATCATAAGAGATAATCACTAACATTAAATTTTATATCACTCCTCTGAATGGCTGTTATAGTCAGCAGGTGACTTGGTTCAATTCTTAAACAGATCTAGACTATAGAACCAACTGCCTTATGACTGTGATAGCTATTTAGGGTGGTTACTCATTCATTGATACTTGGTATGAGTCCCACTACTGTTAGGCAGCAGGTGTTGGTCCTATAATCTCTGCACAAGAGTCAACATTCTTATTTTGTTTTATCACAGCCAGTAGGTTCCATAGTTGGGTAAACTTTGTAATACTCATGACGCTAATTGGAAGGTGTCAGAGCATTTCTGAACATATTTTTTCAATAAGAATAGCTAACATCTCATGAGGACATACTATATGCCATAGAGCTAGGCATTTTATAAGCAAAATCTGATTTTATCCTTATAGCAACCTATAAATATTACTGTTATCTCTGTTTATAGAAGAGAAATTGAGACACAATCACGTGACTATTAAGTAGTTGAGCAGAATTTCAAAGTCACGTTTGACTCCAGGGTATATATTCTTTTAACCACTGTGCTGACATCAGGCAGCGAACAAATATCAGTGTGGTTGTTTTTATAACATTGGAACTGCGTATGACATGAAGCTTCTTGTTGGACATTGGATCTTAGTGAGAGAATTGGTTGAATGGATGGGGGAAAAATGTGAATTCCTAGTTATTATTTCAGTGGACCAGGTCTGATGATTATAAACAAGCTAACAAGCTAAACCTGCCAACACATGTTGGGAACACATATCCTAATCACATCAATATGAAATATGAAAATTCTATCACACTCACACCAATTGTTTCAAATAATGGAACTCCAAAAACCTCACCAAGGGTATGTAATAACCGATGAAATTAATTTCTACTGCCCGGGCACAAGTATAACAAATATGGTTCAGAGTTTTGCCTTTAAATTCACAATATTAGTATGAAGAAGTTGGATGGACTTCTAAAAAAGAACATGCTTCAAAAAAGAAAAAGGGCAAAACAACTCAGATAGCTGAAAAGATTATCTGGTAATGGGCAATTTCAAATGAAATGGTTTTGACACAAAGGTCAATTGAAAAGAAATTTAGGAAGCTGGTTATAAAATTAAAAACATTATAAACATGAATTAAATATTTTCCAACACCAGACGTATAAGTATAAATCCATACACTATCTGATTTATTACAAAATCTTACAGTATGATGCCAATAAAACCGTGCTATATCAAAAGGGACAAACCCTAGTACTTTCCCATATGCCATGTGTTACAGGCAGTTTCGTGCACCTGCTGTGGGTGTGTTTTCAGTACTAAAATATTCATGTACTGAAAAGCCATTACAGATACAAATTATCCAGAATTTAAAGCCTTTTGCATATATATCTCTGGTATGAATCAGGATAACTTAAGCCAAAACAAAAATGCTAAACAAAAGGCAAAAATCTTTTGAAAGAATTGGAGAAGCAGTTCTATTAGCATCATATAGAAATTTATGACTTTATGTGTGCAAATATCAGACATTAATAGATGAGGCGAAGTTATTCCCTTTATCCTCATGGGAAACACAAATACGTGGATTTAAAGTTTATAACAACAAAACCCGTGCTCTACGTATAGAAAAGTAACATCTCTTTATACATAGAAAAATAATATCTTATATCAATACTTTATTAAATGAAACACACTATTATATACATTAAAAATAGAAATGCATGTGGAAATAGTAAAATGCTGAGAAAATGCCTGAGAACTGCCAGCAATGAATAGTACTACTCCACAATAAATTCTGTTACCATTTTTGACATGACCTGGATAAGAAACTCAACCTGTCAAATGTTCATTTCAGTCATAAGAAGGCAGAATAAAATTGCTTACTTCTTTACTGGAGATGTTAAAGAGGATGTCTTACTAGTTTTCAAATATGTTATGATGAATATTGCTATTTTTAATGGAATTTGGAATCAATTTTATAAATATAAATAGTAGAAACTTACTATTATTTTATTTACTATTATTCCTCTAGATTCATATTTAAAGAATCTTATTGAAATTGAGAAGAAAAAGATCCAATACAGCCTTTTCAGCTTGGAAAAATTATTTGAAATGTTAAACCCCCAAAGAATAAAATTATTGTCATTTTTTCTCCCAGTCTCTTGCTCTTTGGGGACTGTTTCTCTTTTAATTTATTGCTCTGTGTTCTAAAAAGTGGAGAAAGATTACAAAACACATTTTAAAAGTGTATTAAATATAACTTATGGTAAATTAGTAATACCTCTTGAAAAACCGTGCTATGAGCTCTCCCATGGTGCTTCCTTTGGGGGAAGATAACCCAATTGTGTTGATTTAAAGGTTCTGTCTGGTTCTTTTAAACATTCCTTTGATGTTGTATTGCTCTGCTTGTAATAGACTGTTATTGCCCTATATTGAGTTTGCAGAGTGAAGGTAAATCTTTCGTGATGTGATTGTGCCGCCACAAACTCAATATTGTTCATAGGGCCTTTATAACTCTCAGCCACATTGCAGCGGAATAGCACACATTTTCATTTTTACCTTTTTAGATTTTTATTCTTTGTTCTGAGACTGAAAGTATGTATGCTTACCTACACTCTACACTGCTTGTTCTGTGAAGCGGTAACTGTAAGCAAAGAGAACATTGTCAGGTGGTTTTTTTCTTTTTCTGAAATTGTTGATTTTATTGTTGATCTTTTTCATTATGTTCCATTAGCTACTCTGCTATCTTATTGAAAAAGCAGCACTATTGGGAAAAGCCCAATTCAAATATCTATCCAAGTTTCTAGTCTGAAATGTTTTCTGAGTACATAACGACACTATTAAAAGAGATTCTCCTGAGGAGTTCTCTCCTCCTTGAAATTCAGATAAATGTGATTTCCCCTGGTGGCAGATCACACACAGAAGACTTATGTGATCAGAAGTATTAACATAGTGAATTCAATATTAACATTGGCCTGTTTGATTGAAAGTAGAAACTTTATGTAATGGCTTACGATATTATTTGCGTCTTTTGTTAAATTTCTTACAGAACGTAGATCGATTTTTCACTGGTACAGCATTCAGCTCAGTTTGAAACTGCTAGTAAAGCAAGACAGCACCAAGGCTACTTTTTAGGCCTTTTTTTTTACTTCTTGACCTATGCCCTGTTATTACTATCCTTTTTTTTGTTATGTATGATGGTATGATCACACAGTTGGGGGGAAATAATTAGTTAATAAGCAATGTTTGAAAATAAAGAATGTCCACACATGGAAGGAAACATTACAGTAGACTGGATTTTAAATATCTATATTCATTGGGTATATTAGCAGGGTATACCTCTGCTAATGTAATTAATTATTATTATTCCAGAAAGTCAACATTTCCTCTACTACAAACAATTTTCATTATTCTCTCCCTGGTTAGTGAAAATAAATAAAATCATCAGTCTTCAATTCTCAGAGACTGATAAATATTAGTTACACTGGTAAATGTCTGTAGAATCTGCATTTCTGATTATCTTCTTTCTGTTTTCCCTTTCCTGTCACTTCTCCACATCACTCTAGGCCCCTTGCAAATGAACGTCTAAAGAACTCTACAATGATTTATGAAGAAACTCAAAGACACACAATTTATAGGAAGAAAATTTCTGAGGTAAGGCTTAATATGCATAATTTTAAAAGATGAACATATATTATTCAATGAAGTTCATAATTGAAACCAGAATTCCTTGGATGGGGTTGTAGAGGGCATCTGACCCAGAAGTTGCAAATCGATGGCCCTGGGGCCATATATGGGCTATAGATGCGTTTTATTTGATTTGAACAGGCTTTAGTTGTTTTAGTTTTTGTTTTAATTAGGTGTTAACAATTTAAAATTGGAGTTTTACTTTAGAATATGAGTTTTCACTTCGGTTGAACAATGGAAGCTCTGATAACACGGGGCCAACGTTTTCACCAGGGACATTCCTTAGGTGGCTTGTGCATTCACTTTCTGGCCACAGTCTCCACATAGGCTGCTTCATTTCCATCACTGCTGGCCCCTGTGGGCATCTGTTGTAGTATCTGTTGCTACTTTAATGCTAGCAAGTTCTTCAGCCTCTTCACTTTGCTCACTCTGGCTTCTTGTTCTGGCATGCCCCTCACTCCAATTCCATCTGTCAGAATCCTTACACCTCAAAAAGCATTGCCTCCCCATGGCTTTCTCCAGTTCCTCATTATTACTTCATAGGAATCTCTCCTGCTCTACTTCTTCTTTTGCCTCTTATTAGTTGCACACAATCTGCCTTGAGTTATATTGATTGTATTTTCATTTCGCTTCCCAATAATTGTGAACACTTGAAAGGCAGGGGCTATCTTTGCATCCGACAGAGCGACTTCCAGTACATGCCTTGCACCTAGTATATTCTCTCCATAGATATATAGTAATGTAGATACAGGTATATGGTAAGTTAATTTATGGTTTTTATCTGTTAGATCATTGAAATTAGTATTTAGGAAGTATTTAGGGGATTTAAATTCCCTATCCAAGTGGTCAAGGAAATAAAAATGGGAGGATCAAAGAGGAAAATTCCCTAAATGGATAACTGAGAGTGGATTATAACTATTATTCATCTCAGTAGTTATACAATGAGTTGTTAAATCACAGCTTAAACGTCTTTGGACATTACCACTGGGACAGATTTCACCTCAATCCTACCTGCTACCTACATATTATCTGTTAGCAATTTAGCATCATTTCCCCTCTGCTGTGTTCTCCTTTGTATGGAGATAGCAGGACACTTAAGAACTACATTCCCAGCCATGTTCTGAGTTAGAGTCTGCTAGGAGATGCATTTGTATCAGACCTGCAGGGTGAAGAGAAGTTGGTGCCATGTTTTCCTTCCTCTGGCAGCAGCAGGAAGGCGTGTGGACTTCTGAGATATGAGATTTTGCAGTAGTCTCTGAGCCATTTTTCTAAGAATTACCTGGTTCCTGATAGAAATATCTAGAGCAGTTTCTGCTTTCCTAGCTCTTTTCTTGATGGGACTCTTGCTGACACACTTTGATAAGGAAATAGGCAGCAAGGTACCATTTAGTAAATTTATTTCTCACTTTGACATGGTCAAATATTTAAAATCAGAGTTTTACCAACTAGAAAATGGTGTGAATGAATATCTCCAGAATAGAAGGAGTATATCTTCCCCATAAAAGGAAAAATAAATTGGCATTTTTCCCCCTCGGAGAAAGGCAAAGATATCACAGGTTTTCTTTGGATCACTTATAAGAAGAGTATATATTTTTTATCCGAGACTATTTGCAAGAGAAGTAATGTTTTGAAAAAACAACCGAGGCTATATTTAACTGACAAAAATACTCATGATAAAAATGTTTTAAAGGTACAATGGAAAACAATAAATATTCCCACCCTTCACCTAAATGCAGTGGTTGACAGAGTGTTCTGTATATCATGGATATTTACTGATTTACAGATCGGGAGAAAAGGAAAAGTGCCTTGCTTCTTTTCGGTGAAATCTGGTGTGTGTGAACAATATTACTCATGTGAAATAATTTAAAAGATGTTTATTATTTGGCTTTTGGAAGCATAATCAATGTACTGAGCACTCTTGACAAATCTAGAATTGGCATTGGTTCCGACTCAGTAGATAAGGAAAATAGCATATTACGATTTACTTTTGCTTTAGGTTAGCTAGAATTTCAGTAAAATTGCTACCACAGACTTATTTTAATTAGCCTGAAACAGGATAAGTGAATTTGCCATGGCTGAGTCAGAGCCATGTAGTGTGGAAGGCTAGTCTATTGAGGTTTGCTATTGTGAGTTAGAGGATTAGTAATATTCCCGTGAGCCCACCCCTCAAAATCATCCCCAGTCTACAAGACAGAGCTGTCTTGATTGGAATTCAAAGAAATTTTTCTTTGAAAAGATGGTTAGTTACAGCTGATTGCATGCTCTTTCTCTGCTGTGTTTCTAATTGTGCTGGGTTCTTGTTGCCTGTTAGATTTCTTGCATCAGACACTTGGACTCTCTTCTCACAAGTGAAAGGATGCAGGTTGATGTTTTGCAGGTTAAAGGTTTTCTGTGAGATGTTGCTTTGTCCTGGTGAACACGATCTGCCGGCCATTTCACCTTGCTTTTTACACAACAATTTTTTCAAGGTAAACTAAAAAAGTTGAGAAAACAGTCTCTTGTATAGGGTAGTAAAGATGAGAGTTGTATTATTACTGATAATATGTAATAACTGTATTTGGATTTTTGGTGAAAGTCATTGGTAATTTGAGGTACTTTATGTATTTTTGTGACAATTGGTCTCATTTTTGGAACAAATTGGCACTAGACATAAAGTCTCTTTCTTCTTGATCTCTATGACAACATGTTAGAAAACAAGCACATAGAACTAATAGCAGGAGAACAAAATCTTGATTTACCTCAATGCAACTAATAAGAAAGCTGGAAAATGCAATTAACTAAAAAACCTCATAAAACTTAAATGATTGCAACTGGTTTCTTCAATTTTCAGAGAACCACAAAGTATTATTTCATAATAGGATTTTACATTAAGAGAAATATGCAGGCTGTCTCTAGCAATCATTCTTGATTCACTGTCTTGTAGCTTTTGCACCTGTGCAGCTGTGATTATTTAAAACTCCAGAGAACGGAAGTCCTAAAATTCTGATTCTAATTTGTTAAAAAAAACCCTCTTCTTACCAAAACAAGAATATTTATTGATATATATTTTAATATATGAAAAGTATGTATAATCCAAGTTACAGACATGTATATACTAAAACAAATACTTTGTCAAAATGAAAGGAGAAACTTTGTTTTTGACAATCTAATATATTTTAAAGACATAGAAAATAGTATTTATTAGTGGCAAATCCCAAACAATATAAAAGTGTATAAAACACAATCCTTTCTTTTAACCCCTTACTAGGACTATAAATAATGTCAATAATTTGACATATATTCTCCCAGTTTCCTCCCATATATTTGCAAACATACATGTAATGTATGTAGATTTCTAAAAATCCTGAATGGAATAATACTAATCACACTATTCTAAAACCTGCTTTTTTTTTGCTCAACAATATATTGTGGACATCTTTCTATGTAAATATATAGGGGCTATAAATAATTTTATAAATAAAATAATCAAGAAATAATATAGTTATGGAAAGTAATTACATGAAAAGATATTTTATATGTCAAACCTTGATTAACTTTAGATTATTTCAATTTGTTGGTAACTTAAATGCTTTATTAGTAAATTATTGAAAAAGTTTCCTTGAAAGTGTATCTATGATAATGCAAGTTGTTTTAAAACTTTTCTTATTTTTGCTTACTTTAAAAGATGTATCAGTTCAGTACTTTATTTATAGAGATATTCTGCACTTCAGCAAATGTGTTTAATATAATCTCAAATTCTATTTAATCATAATTTTATGATTATCTATAAAAAAATCTTTCATAAGTTCGAATAACCTGAAAGTCATAAATCAAAAGTCCATTCATCTTCATGCCTTAATGAAAAACAGGGAATGCACTATTAGTTATATGTAGGAGAAAAGGAAACAAGATTATAGGAATAAACTCACTAGGAGAGTTACATAAGAATAGGAAGAACATTTTAAGAAGTGTAGGACCATCTGGATGTTTGGTAATTATATGGTTTATGACTTTTTTATTTTCTGACTTAGTGTTTTTATGTGAAATAAGATAGAAGTAAGGGCAGACCACCTTTAAGATTATTATGGCATATGGATTATGTTAGAATAGAAACACTCCCATATTTTTGAGATGCCTAACTAAATATTTAATTTCTCAGGTGAGAGAAGCGGTGAGGAAGTAGCAGTGTGACCCAGGATCACATTGCTAAGTTCAATGATCACTGCTTACTCCTGATTGTGCTTGACCTTTCAGCATGACTAGAAAGAGCTGTTTTCTTTTAATCTATACATTACTCACTTAAAAAATTTTTTAAAATTTTTTTCCAGCTTTATTAAGATGCAGTGGACATTTAACATTGGGTAAGTTTAAGGTGTACAGCATGTTGATTTGATACACTTATATATTGCAAAATGATTATCACCATAACGTTAGCTAACACCTGCATCACGTCACATAATTACCATTTCTTTTTTGTGGTGAGAATGTTTAAGATCTACTCTCCTAGCAACTTTCAAGTATATAATTCAGTACTGTTAACTCTGATCACTGTGCTGTACATTAGATCCTCAGAACTTATTCATCTTATAACTGGAAGCTTGTACTCCTTGGTCAATATCTCCAGTCGCTCCCACCCTCTCGCCCCTGGCTGGTAACCACCAGGCTAGTTTCTTTTTTTTTTTCTTTTTTTTTTTTTGCGGTACGTGGGCCTCTCACCATTGTGGCCTCTCCCGTTGCGGAGCACAGGCTCCGGACGCGCAGGCTCAGCGGCCATGGCTCACGGGCCCAGCCGCTCCGCGGCATGTGGGATCCTCCCGGACCGGGGCACGAACCCGTGTCCCCAGCATCGGCAGGTGGACTCTCAACCTCTGCGCCACCAGGGAAGCCCCAGGCTAGATTCTTGAAACAGGTCTTTTCTATTAAGAGATTTGCAAATACGAAAAACAATGCTACTCTTCTCAGTATTTTTTTCTGTTTTGGAAAATATA